CCGTGATAGCTTTGTCACCTCTGGTGGTCACATCACTGAGGAAAATACTAGGTGTATCATTAAGGCCCCATTGGCTTTCCAGAGGCTAAACCATCTACGGAGACGGCAAGATATCAGCTGTCAGTGAAAGATAGGGTGCATGACGCGGCGATAAGGCCGGTCATACCGTATGGACCAGAGACTTGGCCAGTTCGCAGTAAAGACATTAAACGCATGACTGTGTTTGATCACCGGTGTTTGCGAATTATTGCTTACGTTTGGTGGGAGCACCGGGTGAGCAATGCTGAGGTCCGCCAGTTAGTCATTGGCAAGAAACTTTCTGGTGCCTCTCTCCGGACGCTTACGTTGGCTATGCCACATCCTCCGTATGCCCTTTGACCGGTTTCCTCGGCGTGCATTATACGCCGTGGCCACTCCATGGCTTGGCATGGAGGCATGAAGTAACAGACTGAGACTTGGTCAGGCGTGTGGGCACCGTCTTCGTGGATGGAAGCCTCGGGATGGTCCACACTGATGGTTAGAGACCGTATGAGACATAGCAGTCACGAAGTCAGCGGCGTTCCTGCATTTGGTTTCTCGAATCTGGTTGTTAATTTTTGTTCCATTCTGATTAGTCTACGGCATTTCCTTCTTGCTTTCGTTTTCTCTGCATTCTCTTTGCACCCAACCCCACTGTCCTACTGGTGTTATTTATTGTTATACTTGCGATGTGAGTCGTGGCAACTGGATTCACCGTAGTTGGTGCTCGGATTATAGGTATAGTCTTTACCTCGAGGGCTTTATAGGCTACCAAAGATACATAAGCCTGAGGTTCCCATACGGCCTATAGTCGACGGTATAGGCTCTCCGACACACGAACTAGCGAGATATTTGGTGTGAATATTGAAGCACCCGACAAGACGAGCCACGAGACGTTCGGTGAAGAACTCGTGCATGTCCAAAAGGCAGCTGGATGAACTGATGGTAAGCTTCGACGTAATCTCATTTTTCACTAGTATACCCTAAACGGAAGCGCTGGAGTTAGCACAACGCTGCTTGAAGGAGGATAATGCACCGGGTGAGATAACAAAGCTTACAGTTGATCAAATAGTGCAGGGCATGGTATTGTGCCTTAGCATGACCTATGTCATTTTCCAGGGGCTCGCCATGATCCCCTGTATTGGCGGACTTGCACCTGGAAGACTTTGAGAAGGCGCTAGTAAAATCCGATAGCTCACCGATAGTTTGGTGACGCTACCTAGAAGACACTTCGTGATAGTAGAGAGAGATAGGAAGTAGAACTTGCTACTACCTAAACTCCATTAAAGTTGTGCGGTGGTACAATGCCATTCTTTGACTGTCTAGTTCAAAAAAATTAAGGAAATTTGAAAACGATAACGTATCGTAAGCCAAGTGATACCGACGGGATATTCCATTATACCACAGGTCAACCTAAACAGGTTTACGCGGGAATATACCCATCGCTGTTCCACATGACACAGATACTGTGTACAACCGAAGAGGACAGAGGGGTCGCATGAAAAGAGGCGATGAGTAAACTACGGGACAGTGGTTATCCGTGACGTCTGGTTAAAAGTCAGGTACGGAAAGAATTAAATACACAGGTGAAGTTAGCAAAAAAGTGGATAGGGACGGTGAGAACCCGCTATAAGGAAACTCGGAAGCATTTCGGAGCACTGGGCAGGGAGAGCATACGGGTGGTCTTCCAGGGTAACCAAACTTTACGCTCAACGTTGGTGCGCTTAAACGACCCTGTTCCCACAGATAGAAGAACCAAGTAGGTGTACAGAATCAACTGCAACGACTATGCGCACGATTACATTGGCCAAACAGTGAAAACTACGAAAATGGACTTTAGAACACAAAAGGCAGCATATGTTGAGAACGCCGAGGCATGAGATTGAATACATAGCCCTGTTATGAGATACTGCTGTAGCCGTGCATGCGCTAAGCACCGAACATCAGATCGCTTTGGACAATGGCAAATCATTCGAGGAGGTAGGCGGGCGAGGCCCTAGAGGTTAATTGTCTAAGTGATCGAAAATTCGAAAGCCAATTGATAGGTGAATACAGTGGTGGGCGTGGAGCTCTCGACTGTGTGGCGAGCAACATTAATCAGTCCAGGTTACTGAGGACTGATGTGTGGATCAGATTGGTTAGCGAAGACCGACTTCATCATCGACGTTACCAAGACCGCAATTGGCAACGCGACGGAAGGTGAAACCACTGGAGTAACCGCACTCTGACTGGACCGTTAGAGATGACTTTTTCACCTGCGTCGTTAAGAATGGCTGGATTTATGTTCCAGTTGCCACGATGATCCCCGTTACTCGCTATAAAATGCCAAACTAACAATGTACCAATATGCCTGGCTTGACGAGCATTTTGCGTCAAAGGTGAAAGATTGCCAGATAAATCAATCAACCGATTGCTCTCAACTCTCTCTAAAACCATAACTTTTCGATTGGTTCCAAGTATAATCCAAGAGTTTGAGGTTACGATACTAATTCGATCTATACAGAACGCCAGGAGTAATTTTCGAGAACAGAGTGCAGAATTGCGCCGCTTTAGTGAGAAGTTGGATTTTCTCCACCACTTCGATTCGCCTCATAGCCAATGAAAAGGGGAAGCCGAATAAGCAGTGAGAAAGGAAAGTGTCTACCAAAGCCAAGGAGACGCATGAAGATACATATATAACGCAGTTGGAACGAAGAAACATGCCTCACACGGGGTCCAGGACAATCATATACAACGTTTGTTTAGTCGCAGGACAAGTGCGATGCCATTAGTACAGAATGCGCATTTGAACAGTTCAGTGAATGGTCACATCATCATCAACAGCAGTACATTAGCCACTTGAACTGATGCTTCGTTGCCGTACAAACACGGCGACCTACGGAACGAAGAACAATAAGAGGGAGAGAAGTGGGACCTACAGCAAAACCTAACGCCCAGAACAAAGGGACAATCCAGGATGGGACCACGCCACCTGTAACTTATGGCAACGTGATATAGTTGGGTCTATCGTTGGTCAGCTACAGGACGCAAAGTGGCACTTCGGCGCTCACTGTGTCTAAAAGTAGTGCTACTAAGAAACAACTGGTGCTCCGCACAAAGCTGCAAAAGACGCACGCCGTTGTCAGTCTGTTCGGAGTTAAGCTTATACTTACCACTTAACAAAGCTTCTGAAGAGCTCAGAAGCCCTACCTTTGCGTTCATATTCCCTACCAGAACTATTATATCTGAACTAGTAGCACTGCTTGGTAGTGTGCTTAGTTCGTGGTAGAAAGCGTCCATCGAAGTATCAGAGCTGCAATCGGTGGGGGCATAAGCGGAAACCACAAACAAACAGCGTCTAGTGCTACTTCGTAAAACAAACCTGAGTTGATGTCGTCAAACGGGCTGCACACAAACGGCTGTTCACGGGAATCCAATCAACCAACAATAAATCAGCCTTGGAGCTAAGAACAATATCTACCCTAGCTTGACCGGTGAGTGCTGCATCAGCGTCTCCGGATGAGTGCAACCAATAATGAGAGGATAAACCGGGTGCAGTTAATTCAATAACTCCATTAGGGTCATTGATCCTAGTTTTGGAAACACCACATACATCAATACCCAGTGTGTCCAAGGTGCGTGCGAGTGCAGCCTGTTGACCTATTTGTCTTTGAGTGCGAAGGTTTTTTTAAGGTTGGTGAATACTACTGCTTACACAGTCACCAATTATATTCAACTCTTTTGCTACCATTCTAAAAGACAGCTGCCGATTATTCGGAAGCATCCGTCGCACGCGCTCGATGTTGTCTAGGATTATGCTTGTTAACGGTCGACCCGAAAGCGGCATATCTTCTGCTTCAACACCGTACAATTGCGCTAACATCCGTTGAGTCTCCGTCGCCGTTTCGCCTGATTTGAAGCAAAACTTCATGTTAACCCGTTGCTTCATTGTACGATGATACGCATTCTCCCACTGACTCCGTTAGCTTGATCGCAGCGTGCATCACGGTTTCACCTCGGTGATTTGCATGAGAAAGGGGTATGTTGACATAGCTCTCAATGCGTATGCGCAGGTCCCTCATGGTGATCGGCGCAGTCTTTAAAATATGGGACCATCCACAGAACTTTTCAGAGGTAAGTTGCAGCAACCCGAAATTGTGTTGACCGATCTCACGCAAGGCCGTCTTAGAAAAGTAACATGGTGACAAAATGATGGATTACAATCATAGATCAATATGCACTCCACCTATAGCTTTGAGAGGCGAGACAGGGGTGAAACAAATATCGGGAGATGCCAGGCGTCAGAGGGTGTGGCTGAAGGCCGTACGGCAGGGAGAAACAACGAAGTAAAGAGGTGAAACAAGAGAATTCGACGGAACCTAGTGCAGCTTAGAAGAAAACCTTGTGAACGAACCCTGAAACCAGATCAGTAGCATCAACTTAACTGGACACTAAATGTCGTAGCTCAAAAAGACAATGGAAGGGAATATGAGACATATAATAAGGTTGTTCTAACAAAAAAGGGATGGGAGTTGGGAGTCTGAACGAACAGAACCAAAAAGGGACATCGGACAGACAGCCAACCGAACGCACACCCTGTGAATTGACCACGGCTACACGGACCGAGAGGAAAGGCAGCTGACGTTCGGTATAGTCTAAACAAAGCACACCGCATACCTCCAAACACGAGAGGAGCTGATTGGTCTGAACAACGAACGAACGGCGCTTGTGAAATAATTCGATTCAGACAGCTAGTGAAAAGTAACTACAACGAAAATGGCGCTACAAATGTACGTAGACCACAAAGTATCCTACTGCTCATGAACAACAGATTTCTTTAATTGCCAAGACCTCGTCTTGACTCGATGGGTGTTAATTGATATTGTGGGCCTGTCAGTGAGAAAGCAACAAGAGCATGTAACTGGGAAATGTGAAAATGAGTTGCAAAGGCAACAAAAGTTAAAAGAATAAAGAGATCTGTTGGGGGTCAGGTGGTCGCTCACCTTTAATCCTCTTTCCTCTTCGGTGCGATCATCAACAGAGGCGGAAATTATACCCCAGCGGCAGTCTGTATCTAAAAGATATCCGCGAATAGCTGGTGAGGCAGCACTGAGTGCCATCAGGATTGGACAAATCGTGGCGAGCTGATCATACAAGATGCGAGCCTCGTCGATGCAACAAGCCTAAGGAGAAACATGAGAAAAGGTAACGTGCGGTAGACAAAAAGATGAAACGTATTTACGGTTCTAACAGGCAAAATGAAAAAATAGGGGACGCATCTGACAGGGCATAGATGCATCATATGCGTCGCTTTGCGAAAATTAAGCTACAGCTGTGGCAGCACGCGCGATTCATAATTACAACTAATTCAGAGTAGCCAGTTTCTCTGTCTATCGATGCCCATCTCTCTCCATCCAAGGTTATGCGACAAGACTGTCCCTGACCTCGTAACCCTGGCTAAATTTGAACTTAAAGCAAATTACAAGACAGGAGTCTCATTTGAACCTCTCAGATTGACAAAAGTGTAATTCACGTTAGCAGTAACTTCTAAGAACACTGTTCCAACCAATCCGAAGCACGGAGCCGAGATAAAACTCAGCTGATTGAAAAAACTAGCGGGAGATTTTGAAGAGAGATTAAACACCTCTGAGTTGTTAGCAGCACTGCCCGAATGACATGAGTAAACACCATTGTTGACGTCGTTGCTTCGAAAGTGGGTGTTGCGAAAGTGGAGCCAAGTACACGAGCTCAACGACCTTTACTTGCCAGGGAAAGAAAGAAAAATTCAGGTGATTAAGTTGACTTACTTAAAACCGTATACTGAACTGCGGAGGCGCTCTCTGATTGCCGTCGGCCGATCGATGTCCGCATCTGTATAAGAGTCCAAGAAGTGCTACATTTGATCGAGGAATAAGCCTTATTCCCTTTGTCTTTAAACTTCGCAAACGAATCCTTTTGGAGTGGCTCGCTGATAGGTGTGGGATTCGAATACGTGATAGCCGGTTTGATTTTCGTCACAGAATAGTGAGCATTGATCACGTAACCGCACTGTGCATGATGACATAAACACGTAGAATACAGTACGGCTGTATTTCAGAACCTGGTGGCTACATTCCTTGCTGTGCTTCGGGCTCAGAGCTGTGGTGTTGTCCATCTATCTGGAGTGCGTCGGAGAAAATACGTAGCGTTACGAAATCTCTTTACAGCGACTCCAGAGTCCAGTGAATGTCGGTGAAAATTCACACATTTTCACCAAGGTGGACCAGATTATTCAAATTTACAACTCGGCGAGCGAAATGATTATGAATAGGGCCCTACTTTCTGTCTCTGAAGTGGGAGTTCTACCGATTGACTGACAAACGGAATTAGCTTGGACAGTATACTCTTAAGCCTGGATCTAGGTATGGGAGAGCCTTCGGAAAGGTCAAAACTCCGCATGCTGCAGTATGTGCTTCGCATCTACTTGCAGCGTCATCATAGGACTAGGTCGACACAGCTACGATTCCCATACCACAACAACCAGTCAATGTGCCTGATAGGTTCACCAATGTGGCGAAATTGACCGCATCCGCGGACATGACAGTAAATGACAAGATGAACACACCGGCAAGACTTATGTTGGCCTTCATATATGTCAGCAGCATACGGTGCCCTGTAATGATGAAACCCCACGATATAACCACTAGAGAGATTTGAGCTATTGTAGGATACTGCGAAGTTCCGAAGCCTAGGTAGGATTAGGGAATCGAATCTGGGAGACGGATGTTGCAAATCAAACTTCTGAGCCACTGAACCATCTAACCGGCAAACCGTATACACAGAGTGCTGTTGTGGAGGTTAACCTTTCTTGAGTGACTCAATTACGGTCAGATAGAAAAGGAGGCTTTGGCGATAGTCTCCACGGTAAAGACACTCCAGAAAATGCTGTACGGCAGGAAGTCCACTCTTCTTACTGACCATAAACCACTACTGGCAATTTTGGACAAAAGTCAAGCATACCCGGTTACACAGCGAATAGGCCACAACGTTGGGCAACCATGTGATTCGGTTATGACTTTGAGGTCAAGCACATTTCCCCAAAAGAACATAGGTCAGGCTGCTGCGCTTTCTCGGTTATTGGAAAATCAACAACCTCAGAAGGAGGACACCATCATCGTAGCGATATCCTTAGAATCAGAAGTGAACCAAGTGCCGATAGACGTTTAGAAAGCTTCCGAGTACTTTCGAAATGGTACGTGCTGCATCATTCCATGATCCAATGATTCACCAAGCGATAAAATACCACACTACACGGTGGCCGAAAGATAAGCTTACGGCTGAGCTACATAAGGTGTTCCTAAGGAAAGATGAACTATCAGTGGATGATGGATGTTTGCCTCTGGACGATCGAGTTGTCTTTTCGGTGGAACTTCGTCCGCGAATTCTACGACAATTCCATCGAGGTCATCCTGGTATTAGCAGGATGAAAATGACTGATCCAAGTTTTGTTTATTGGTCAAACATCGACGCGGGGCTCGAGCACTTAGTGAAGACATGTTCAAGATGCGCGCTTGTCAGTAAGTCACCGCGGAAAACAGACTTATCTTCTTGGCCATCAGCGACCAAACCCTGGGAACGCATACAAGGTGATTTTCTTGGCCCTCTCAATAGACAGCAATTCTTCGTTGTTGTGGATTCTTACAGTGAATGGCCTAAGGTTTTCCGACTGGAGAATGCAACCAATGGTGCAACAACCAAAGTACAACGTTCTTTTCAGCCAGCATGGAATATCGGAGGCTCTGGTCACCGACAACGGTTCACAATTTACTTCCTACCTAGTTGCCGAATACCATGCGTAGACTGGTAGTACAACTTTACGCTCGCTCCCGTTCCACCGCCAAGCCAATGGACAAGCGGAACGGTTTGTTGGCACGTTCAAATATACGCTACTAAAAATGCGGGCAGAGGGAACCACACAGGAGATATTGGATATTTTCCTGCTTATGTACAGATCAGTCCCGAAAACAACAAACAACGTGTCACCCGCGCAGAGGCTCTCATGTGAAGGAAAATTCGCACGGTTAACTCACTGCTGCTGCCGAGGAGCACTATCCCACAAGGGAAAATGCGAAAATGGAGAGGTGTTATAATCAATGAAATAGAACCCAAGAACGTAATTTTTACGCAGGACAGAGGGTCTTGATAAGCCGCTATGGAAAACAGGCTCGATTCAGAACCAAATAGGAAGAGTGATCTACAAAATCAAGGTAGGTGACTTAATTTGGACGAGACGCGCAAATCAGTTGAAAACTACTAGCATTCGAGAGCGCACAAATAACCTATCTCTACCACCTGATCTCTTAAACACTTTCGATATACACCCTAGAGCCCCACACGTGCCCGACGAGGAGTACGCAACAGCTTCGGGAGAAACGAATTTGCAACTAAGGCCTTGTACTGATCGGATTCGGAGGTCAACAAGGCGTCTACAGGTAAACCCACACAAACGTTCGTACGATTAACACTTCTTTTTACGGGAGAAAGGTGTACAGTCATAACGGTTACAAGTGGCGAAATGTCCAAGAAGTGTAACCTGGTTGGTGCCAGGAGAGTTGTTTGGATTTTTTGTAATTGTGCACATAAACGAAACGGAGTTGTTCAAAAAGCCAGTATGTGGTTTTTACGAAACAAACCCATGTTTTGTGTCGGAACAATTAGTGCATGCATTCCGAACACTGCGTTTTTGTGCTGCGTTACATTTGGTCCTGTCGGCTGTTCACACAAAACTCACACTTCTCCTACCTCCGCGATCTTATGTAACCAAATGTGCATTCCACTGTGAACGATTAGTTCTGATGTGTTTCCTTCTGCTTATCGCCCGGTCTTGTGTTCGTTGTATCAATACACCTTGTGCTGTGGCCTTCGCTTTCTGTGTTCTCAAAGCGGAATCAAACAGGGGTTCAGTCTTACTCCGTGGTCGTAACAAAGGGTATCCCTATATGTCCTACCAATCGTCTTCAACCTTGGGCAACAATCCTGTTATGGTACGATTTTAGTATCCAGCACCGTCGCATCAAAGATTTCGGACAAGCCGATGCTCTATCTCCCCTTATCACCAACCATCGGGGACCCGAAGATGACGTATTGATTGCGGCTACATGCGTCGAGGTAGTGGTCCGTCGAGAACTCTCAGATGCCGTTCACGCGATTCTAATTACAGCTGCCCAGGTTCGACACGCAACTGCGTGCGATCCGATTCTTCAACCTGCCATTTCTTTTACCTAGACGCACTGGCCTATGGAAAAACTTGCGGGTGAACTGCATCAGCTATTCTTTCGCCTCGAATCATTGTCCGTTGTTGATTCTTGCCTTGTGTTCGCCTAATGAGTGGTGGTACTAGCCTCTCTCCGACCAGCTGTTCTCCGTCAGTTTCACTTTGATCATCCGGGCATCAGCCGGATGAAGACCATTGCACGTGATTACGTCTACTGGCCCGGTATGGATGAAGATCTATAGCAAATGGTCCGTGAGGGCACTAAGTGTCAGAAAACTTTCAAACTACCCGCCAGGCAAGAACTAATTCAGTGGCAACCGCCCCATGATTCATGGTCCCGGCTTCACCTGGATTTCGCTGGCCCAATCGACGGAGCGTCGTATCTCGTCGTCGTCCACGCCTACTCAAAGTGGCCAGAAGTGGTAGCGTCCAGTCTAGAGACCTCAAGTGGCACGATTTCCACCCTTCGAAACATCTTCAACCATCACGGTCTACCAGACGTGATTGTTACAGACAATGGATCCCGATTCACTTCAGCACAAGTTGCGGATTTCTGTTCACATCTGAACATCCAACACATACGGGCCCTACCTTATCACTCTCAATCGAATGGTCAGGCTGAGCGCTTCGTCGATACCTTCAAGCGTGCGCTCCTGAAGTCGCATGGAAAGGGGACTCGGATGAGATACTAAAAGCTTACTTGTTTGTGTATCGAACTACTCCCAAGTTAGCGACGCCCGGTGGTCATTCTCCAGCCAAAGCTCTGATAGACCGCAAACTGCGTACAGTGCACGATGCCCTCATCCTGAAGAGCGAATCACTGCCTTCCACAATTATAGATCTTCGTGGCTTCACGGTTAGAACATCTGTATACGCTCGGGATTACAGACGCGGGCACAATGAATGGGTTTAAACTGTGGTTACCGTTCTCTGAGGACGAGTAATTCATGATATATTGGTAAATGACGAAACGTGGAGTCGGCCCCGCAACCGGTTACGACTAAGGCGCGCGGACTCGCTGCAGAATATCAGTCACCGAGCAATTCTGTTAGACATACTACTGGACGCTTTTACTACTCCATAAATGGGTACTATAAATCACACTCCATCGGAAGTAAAGGTAGATGTCAACCTTCACCCTCGTCGTTGGACAGACTGAGTCCGACGTCCAGTAAAGCCGCTACAATTGCATCCAAGATAGCAGAGCTACAAATAGCCAGTCTTAAAAAGGGGTGTTGTGAAGGTTGACTTCACTTGAGTGACTCAATTTTCCAGAAGTTGATCAAGAGTGAACAATGCACATTTGTGTACATTGTGCGGTGTTTTCGGGCGGGCAACACCCAATTTCCGTCTGCTTAGTCTACAGTCCTAGTGATCGCAGTGACCAAGGTTCACTTCAACGTGAGTCACGGTCTACAATGAGATTGCGCGTCGCAATCCAATCACAGATACTAATCGTCAGTTTGTCCCGGAATTGTACTTCCTGCTTGAAAGTCTGGCTTTTTGCTCTGAGCTTCTGCAGCCGTTGCGAAGCGTGTCATTTGACTGACTGTCTGAAGGCATTCCAATACATAACAGTGGACCTGGTGTGTTATTCAAGGATACGGTATAGGATGCTGTAGGACACTTGTGATTAATGTATAGGCCATGAATATTGCCGCAACGAGTAGAAAAGTGGTGCTCAATCAGTACGGGTCACTGAGTGAATGTTATGGATGTCTGCCAGATGCTGCTAGTAAACCATCAGGTGCGGCATCAAATTTACAGCTGTACCCAAAACGCAAGCGCGTATTTGGTAACTGCCAATCGTGGAATGTGACGTTTTGGATCTCAGCCTTATTGAGAGAAGCCTCGCGATGGCCAGCCGATGACATCAGGAAAATGACTGGGACATAGTAGGTTTGGTGTAGATAGCCTTACCGGAAGGGTCTATGGCTACGTTGCATCAGCCATTGGAGGCTTTATCCGACGTGAGATAGAAACAGTCAGCGAAGCGGCTGTTACTGTTAACCAGTCACATTTCCATCAACCAGTAGCTTTTCAGTAGAGTTACGCGTCGGGAGATGTTTTTTGTTTGTGTCTTTTCCCACGGTATGAGCTCAATTGAAAATTGAGAATATGAATACGTAGTTCAAGGTGGATGTGTTCATCGCCCTACAGTGCTTAAAATTAAGGAACTGAAGTGAACGCCACAGTAAAAAAGGAGCGATGGATGAAAATGAGTTGGCGAATCACCTAAAGTTTCAGATCTAATGTACATTTGTTGGCATTCAGATGTCTGCGAGAGGAAATCAACAAACCCTGACCGAAGATAAAGTTTGGAATAATTGGGATGAGTAAACCTTAGTAAAAAAAGAAGTCATGAAAACCTGATAACCGTATGTTGAAAAGAACGAACAAGAGAACTGGGCAAGAATGCAGTCTATGAAAATAGTGGAGGGTACCGGGAAGGAAAAAAAACCGTACGGTCGGAAAATTAGAGACCCATGGTGGCTTTGACGCTTCGAGTAAAATGCCACCAGTTCGCAGACTTGAGGATACCTCTGGGAAGTAATGCATAAATCAATGGTGGGACGAACCTGAAACGTCATTTGAAGGCAGGAACAGCCCATTCCGAATCCCATGGCGTCCAAATACACGTGATCAGGCAGGGCAGCTCGGGCTCCTTCGTTATCCGATGAGTGTAAAAGAGCTGAGAAGTCCTCTACAAATGGATCCGGAGTGTTCACATCACGAAAAACTGAAAACGGAACAAAAAACAGGTGGGCGGAATGTGTAATGAAAATAAGAAATGTATCAGCGACGCTGTCTTTGGTGCACATACACACGCACCCCCGAATTCATTTACGGAGTGTGTGAACTCTGCCCACGCATGGCTTTTGGAAAAAGGTGCACAGGTTACTAACACAAGAAGGATTACGCAACAAACAACATCGTGAAGCACTACAACTTCTTCGTACAGTCTGAAAACTGTGGCTTCGACAACGAATAAAAGCGGAGGCACGGGACACGACTTAGACAGAGAGCATTTTACGAAAGTGGTATGCACGCAACAAAACGGGTATCGGCGCCTCCAGTAAAGTGACTAATGATGAACAATGACATATCACGGGTAAAAGACCAGGTGCATGACAAGTCCTGTAGGATGGTTGGAGTGAAAAGAAAAAGAAGCAAGGGACAAATGAATCGTCAGTTTAAGTGTCCACTGAGTTAACTGCACTGACCACATAGCAATAAGCTACAGATGGCGCGGAAGCGTAACGGACTGCCCATCGTATTGGTCAACTTATCTAGACTCCGATAACGCATTGGTTCGGGCTAAGATTTGCATGCGTTTCGGAGTATCACCTAAACGCGCTCACTACCGACCGGACGATGAAAATCTACAAAACCCTGAGATTTTAACCAAGTACCAAGCCTCACTGTCAACCTTGCTTGGCTCAACTATTGACGGTGATCTCGATTCGCTGGCTCTATGTCTAGTTGCTAGACTGTTGAGATTACATACATACATACGATTCGCAGTGGGCGCAGAACCAAAAATGCTTTAGTTTCCGCCAGTATCGACAATTATGGATTTGCCCGTCACCCACCGAAGCATTGGATTTCCGCCGTCTCCTTGTCACTGATGGACAAACGCCGCTTGATCCCGTCGGATTCCAGACACAGTGAAGAACGCCAATCCCTTGGTCGAGAGTTGCGCAGGAGACTGCAAAATGAACCGTGAAGCTTGGTGGTGTGAACGTGCTAGGGAGATGGAGCTTGCTAGTCTCTCTGGTAATACCTCTGGTAATACCATCTCATTCGAGTCATAGGTGTTCGATCTGGTATAATTGAACCAACATGCGAAGAGGATGGCACCTTAATCACCAATCTTCAACGACGGTTGGAGCGACGGGCCGAACACTTTGGCTCGCAGTTTCGTTGGCCCGCAGCTCCATCTGCTACCTCTGGCGCTCGCGCTGGGGCGGTGTGGTCTAGCCCACAGACCCTCTCTCTTCCCAGGAAATCGAGCAGGAGCTCCGGCACATGAAGCGTTATAAAGCCTCCGGCCCTGATGGTCTTCCTCCAGCTCTATTCAAAGATGGTGGCGTTTCGCTGGCTCGAGAACCCACCGCTTTGTTCTCGAAAATTCGGTCGAGAGATGACGTTACATCGTCTTGGGGTGAATCGATAGTCGTCCCTATCTTCAAAATGGACATGCGCACAATCTGCTACAACTACAGAGGAATAAGCTTAGTCCCCGTCGTTTGCAAGCTGCTGGTGTCCATCATACTTCGCAGGCTATGCCCAACGCGCGAAACGTTGCAACGAGGAGAACAAGCTGGGTTTCGCCCTTATCGCGGCTGCATCAATCAAATCTTCACACTTCGCCAGATCCTCGAGCTCTGCCATGTGTATCAGAGGCCAACGATTGTTGTGTTCCTGAATATCCGTGCAGCCTTCGATTCTGTCGATCGTACAGTACTGTGACACTGCCTACTGAGGAATGGTGTCCCCGAGAAGTTCGTCTCCATTCTGTGCGCTCTCTATAGTCTGACCTCAGGCAGGGTTAGGGCTTATGGCAATCTTTCGCCAACCTTTGTGTTCTCCAGTGGAGTTTGACAAGAATGCCCTATCTCTCCATTCCTATTCAACTTTGCCATTGAGGATGTCCTAAAGAACGCTCTGGGCGATTCGTTGAACGCTGGCGTTAAGCTCCTCTCAGGTGCTGATAATATCGTCTTGCTGGGTGACGATCCACACGTCGTCCAACTTGCACTAAAGCGCTTGGCGATTGAAGCATCAAAGTATGTTATGTACTTTTCACTCTCTCTTTCAAGACTGGCAGGTGCCTGTGCCTGCACTCACTCTTGGCGGTGAGACACAAGATGTTGTGGAGAGCTTTGTCTACTTGGGAAGTTGTATCACTGCTGGCGGGGCTGTTGGAGACGAGATTTGGTTGCGCATCTCGAGAGCACGTCTCGTTTTTTCTAGGCTGAGACATTTGTGGCGTCACCAGGACGTTCGTTTCTCTATCAAAAGGCGGGTCTATTGTGCAACTGTTCGTGCTGTACTGTTGTACGGATGCGAGACCTGACCGATTCATAAAAATGACTTGTGCAGGCTATCCGTCTTCGAGCACCGCTGTATGCGGTCCATGGCCCGTGAGTGGTGGCAGCACCACGTAAGCAATGTGGAAGTTAGACAGCGTGTCTTGGGATGTGGAAGCCACTCGCTCGAGGTGCTCGTCTCACTGCATCAACTGCGGTGGTTGGGACACGTATTGCGCATGCCTGTCCAGTGTTACCCGCGTCGTGCGTTGTTTGCGGTTGCTGGACAGCGCTGGAAGAGACGGTCTGGTGAACAGCCTACAACATGGAGAAGCCGCATGAAAAATCTGACGAAACAGTTGGCGTCGGCCGGTTGTTGTCGACTATCTGGTTGGGGTACGAGAGATGTGGATACTTGCTGGTTGAAGACCTTGGAAGCCATAGCTCAAGATCGATATCAACGGCGTACGTGTGCATCGGTGCGCTGTGGTGTCCGTTCTTCCTCACCCTAAGAACAAACTGAAAAAAACTTCAAAAACTTTAAATGGTAGACTAGACAAAAAGAGCTTTTGTTGTCATTGCTCATTGCTTATTATTCATACTGCTTTCCTATTCAGCCATGATTCATTTACTATACGCGGCTATTCTGGAATATCGTCAGGATTTACCCAAACTGAATTTACGTACCCCACCGGTCCAACGAAGCGACAAACGAGTGAGCGTTGTCATTTGCAGTTTTATTTTTTCTCACGGTTTAGGTGAAGTATAACTGCTCTCTATACTATCTTGTGTGCGCACATTCAATTCCCATTTAAAACTGTCATTATGCAACCGTGCAGTTATATATATATATATATATATATATATATATATATATATATATATATATATATATATATATATATATATATGAGGGCAGCGCCGATAAGTTTCCGCTGGGTTAGCTCAAAGTTAGCCTGCTGTTGTTGCCACAGCAGTCTCCAGTCGACCCAGGGCCGTCAAAATTACGGGTGGTGAGACGTAAACGACCAACAGTTCTGTTAACCAGAAACCTAGCTGTAGGTTGATATTGGATGAGCAAACCAGTTGCCGGCTGTCAAAATCTGGTGAACAACTGGAGCAAACTGCTATAAAAGAACTAGCTCCTAAGGAATTGCCCAGTAAAACCTGTGCCGTAAAATAGCCAACTAATTTCCTGAGATCCAGTGTGATAATCACATAGGTCAAACAGAGGAGCGTTTTCTGGAAATCTAAGTGAGAAATAAAACAGAACAGAGAATATCCAAGACCACTGAGAGCAGATAAACAACGCTAGGTTGTGGCGTGTAATTTGTGGCTATCAAACCAATGACCGAAACCTTGTATACTTGATCAGTCAATCGAGGCCGTCGGGGTACAAAGCAGCAGACCAGAGGCCATAAAAACCAATGACAAGGTGTTTAGGATGAAAGATCTACAAAAATTCAATTTTAGTGGAGTAACTAACGAGCACCTTGCAACGCCAACCAAAGTAGTTAGAAGGAAGTCAGACGGTTGATAAGGAAACGCTTCCAGTTTCCTGCGATGCAAGTAAGACGGGACACCGAAAACGGACATACTTCGTTAGATGATATCTTTAATAGCAGTTGTGAATTTCAGTATGGCTCGGATGTCTGCCTGAAACTCGAAATTTGGTTCAGAAGACATGAAGACGTTTTCCTGTCTGAAGCTGTCAATGCGGATGGAAGTGTAGGCTGCTATTGCGTGAGCTTGGGACCAAGGAACACGACCAATTCCTCGACTTGATTCAGCGCATCTTCAATCAACTTGTACGCACGTTAACTGACGAGATAAGTAGATACGAGACCTGGAAGCAGGAGTGCTGCAATGCAACCGAAATCAAGGGAGTGTGTGGCTTTCAGACGCTGCAAACAAGGAACAAGTAGCATCCCATTCGATGACTAGTTGCAGATCGAGATGAGCATGCTGACGAAGTGAGGAAAATGCTATCCCGCTCAATTCATGCGATATAACGCAACACACGAAGTTAGATCGTCTGATCGAAGCACTGTGGGGACGCTGTGAGACTCAGCGTGGATACATGGTCAACGACAAAATGACGATCAAGTCTGACAGGCCATGTAGACTGAATCAGATGCTAAACAACATCAAGTAAGCCATCGAGTGAAGTGAAAATCAATAGCAGTATTCAAATTCAGCATCACTGAGAGGAAGGATTGCATGCGACTTAATGTCCAGTAAGCCAAGACGACAATTGATCCCACACGTAGCTGATATGTGACTGAAATACACACAAATACGGAAGACTGAGAAGTCTACGGTACTCCCATGAGGCCGGTTTCGGTTTGTAATAGATTTGCAAAGAACTGGTCGCGTCAGTTTAACCGTTACAAGTGACCTAAGCACGTTCCTTATTCAGGCACATACTCGGGTAACGTACTGTCCTCGAAACCGGACAACGACGTGCACACGACCGCGGAGCACACGGCTGGAACGACGAACACGATCACAAGACCACGCGAGATCCAACCAGCGCACAAGAGAAGACAAGACGAAGCAGACCTCCGAGAGCTCTTTTACGACCTATAAAAGCCGAATCACGGTTGGCACAATGGTTCATTTTGTGGGTGAAAGGAATCACCACGTGGGTCGAGTGGTTCACAGAAGAACAATGTTCACCGTAGCCCAATTGTGACACCGACTCAGACAGGCTGGACTGCGCTGCGCAGTGGGTGGGAATCGGACTCTGCGTGGCGCAACCATGCATTGAAGTTTGTGGCGTATTTCTGCGGGGTTACTTGACGTTTCCGCAACACAGTTAAAATGGCCTTACGCTGGAATTGGAAAGCACAACTTCAAAACGCAATTCAGATGTCGTACGATACGGGAACGACACAGAGAAGCTGATAATCAATACAAAAGATGCAACTAAAAAAGGAATGTACAGTTAGTGCATAAGGTACCATCTTCTTCTGACAGCTGCTGAAACAATTATTAACTGGAAAAAGTAAAGAAGAGATTTTAGTGGATATTATGATGATGGATCCGAACTGATGTTCGCCTCATACTGTAGCAAATAGCAGCGGGTACACTACATCTGCATGTTTCGGGGTGGGATAACAGGAGTCAATTTCGCCTTGATCAAGCCGGGTTCGATCGAGTGCTGTGAAATAACACTTCCTCGTTATAAGCGGACAGAATCACATGAGCACGTTAAAAACAACAGCTTGAAAACTGTGTGGAAAGAAGGCTTACTTGGTACGTTGATGGCCACCTTGGAGCCCCGACGTTCTCGAATATTACGCGTGAGTGTCCTGCAAAAACAAAAAGATAAGTTAGATGCACGGAGGCAAGGAATTATTTTTAAGTAAGACAGACCGGTGAAATCGATGAAGCTTACATAAAGCGCGGGTGACCTTGAGTGATAGCGCCATCAGGAAAGAAAAGACTTCTTGAGGATCCGTCAACAGGCGTGGGTTGGACTGAAGGATAGGAGAAGTCTGGGCACCCCAAACTGTGAAGTAGCAAAGTGGAAGGCGCGAGCATCACTTAAACTAAATCAGGAAGGGCGATGAATCAAGTATAACATTTGACACGACATATCGCGCTTTAAATTACTCACAACTGACAGAAGGCATTTATGAGAGTGAAGAGAGGAGTATGAGTGAATTAGTTAGAATTCGTTGTCTCAAGTACTATAGTGTAGCTCGGTGAGTCCAGCACGCCAAATCCAACAACAACAACGATAACACAAATAGGAAAGCCTAAAGTCTTCAATTGTGACCACTACCAAGTAACCAGAAAGAATTACGGATAGTGCATGCCAACAGCGTTACGTTAAAACGTGGCTGAACAGGTCAGGTTAAGCGTGCGTGTAAAGAATCCAATCTGGATGTTGCAGCAGCCGTTATGACTTGTCTTGAAAGGTATTGAATTGGGAATCCTCAAGAGTTGACCATGTCTAGATCGCGACTTCTATTCGTGCTGGATGGAAAAAGGCGAATACCTTCACTCAAGCATCCTCACTTAGCCGTCACACATTGGATAACCTACAGACGCACTGTTGGTCTGCTGTTACATGTAGTGAAAATTACACCGGTCGTCTGTTGGTTTGGCATCCAAATTCGAGTGCGTTGGTGAGCGTACCAAGTCAAAAGGGTCGCACAACAAAGCAGATCGAACAGATCCGAGATTGAGGTAAGGTTAGCAGCAAAACGAATCAGGATAAAAAGGTGAAAGAAGTGCATCCCTTGTAGATATCATTTGGAGTAAAATTAGCAAAAATAGGAGTCGTTGGCATTTAGAAAGAAACGTGAAACAGATGATTCAGTCCGTATCAAAATGAGGAAAGTGACAATGACCACAACAGACAGTTAGATAGACATACCGGGGAAACATGGTAAGAGTGAGAGAGAAACAATGCTCTGGTAGACTGTTCAGCAGTTCTTGGCGCCTTTTGCGCATATTGGGTTCCACCGTGCTAAACGCATACAACAACCGACCAAACGGTATGCCCGGGAGGCCCTCCACCATGTACTCTGCGTATTCCGGTTGCCAGATGAATTGGCTAAAGAAAAGGAGCAGTCATGAGAAAGGCTAGTTTTACAAGATTTAACGGTTAACAATACTTATGAGATTGAAATGGCCTATCAACCGTAATATATTTGCAAAAGTCTGCTAACAGACATAATGCCATCATCAACCGTAATAATAAACTATTGATAGCAAGTGGAAGCCACAACGAGAGTAGACTGGAGCATGATGCACTGGACTGCGTATCTCTGCAATTTAATAAGATACGCTGGACTGCATTCACCAAAAGTAATTCGAACAGCTCACATGTCGTGGTTGGACAAAATTGCACGGGACACCATCCCCGCAGGTTTGCGATGCGTTGGTGGTAATCGTCCGAAACATTCTGGTAGACGGTTTACTACTTATAACCTCAGCTAGAAAGTACACAGTATCAGCGACACAACGTCTTTGACGATAGGATAGCAGAAAATGGCATGCGTCTGTCCGCCAGAAGCTCGATGGACCACGGCTAATGTAGCGAACATCTGATAGCATCCGTTTGCCAGTTGACCGTGGTCACAATTGCGTTGACTGACGAGTGCAAAATGAGCACGAGTCGTTCCAAACCCCTTAAGAATGAAGGTACCTTAATCACGGGAACAACACAAGAAATTATTTGTCCGTCTATTGTGGGTATGTAATTTCAGCAGTCTAGCAACTAGACACAGCCAACTCCGTCTATTGATGATGTGGATTCCATGACTGGGGTCATTTAAAAGGTTGTAGCTGTTTTTTAGCGAATTACCGGGAGGTGTACGACTAAAATGCGTTTTATTAAAAATTGCCGAATGTGAAAGTAAGATATAAAGATTTGTTTCAGAGACAATTTCTTGACTCATTGATCTCTAAGTGAGCCACACGTACAGTACCTGAAATGAGTACACTGCTTCAGGGTGGTTAAACATAGGTAATGGGTGGTTTACGGTTATATGCGCATGTTTTCGATAACATCGGATGTTAGGATTAAAAACGCAAACTACGGATAACCGCATGAGCCTTAGTGAGGCATGCATAGTTGCGCGTGGGCTAAGGATAATGCTGAAGCCGCCCAATACCTTACACAGGTTCGAACCTGCAAGGTAGATGCCACGTCCTGTGAGGCACGGGCCGGCAATTGCCGTGAGCGAAGAAAAATCGAAAAGCCCGCGCCAACTTGAGAGCAGAACGAAGTTGATAGGCTTGTCAATCATTCGACATGAAGATAGTTCACCCAAAGGAAAATAAAATGAGCAGTTAATGGGAACCTAAGCAAAAATGAAAAAATCGGGACTCTGCCAAGTCCTCTGTACAAATAACATGCAATAGCCAGTTCGCTCTATGGATATGAGTTACTTTTTATCTTCATAGACGCGCCTAGCCGCAATGCGCAGCGAATGAATACGAGAAACAGAATAGTTGAGACGCCGACGCTTAGTGGGATGTTTCTAAACAATATACCTACTATTGACTTGTTTCGAAATTTACTTAGAACACATTTAAGAACAGCGCGATATACAAATGATTGCATATGATGATATGAAGGTAAACGTACTCCCCGGAAGAGCCTTCAGTTGGTAACTGCTTCAGTAGCTCGGAAGCTCCCAAAAATAGATGCACCTTTCCAGAGACTGGGTCCAAACGCAGCAAAGTGTATTCAATCTCGTCACCCCATTTGAGTGTGTGCTTCATTGTCGAATTGAGGGTTTCATATAAGTAAATAAATTGCTTAATCCCCTCTGTTTGGATGTAGGCAGCATGCTTTTTTGTCTCAGACCACGCCAATGGTGTGCCAAAAGTTAACAAGCCCATTAATCGTCCCAACTATAAAACAAAAACGAAAGTTATGCAATCAACAGAAAGCCTCTAAAAGTAGGTGGGTCAGACATTGAAATTCAGTCGTATACATAAGCACGAGTGGAGTAGCTAGACAACGTCGAGGTTGGGCCAAAATCAGTTAAATATGGCAGCGTGATGCATGTAAATATATATATATATATATATATATATATATATATATATATATATATAATCAACACAACCACGGCGAGGTAAACGATGAATAGGCATGCGAACCACATGCTTCAGCCACGGAAGTGTGCGCAGTGAAATTATGCTGCTCAGTGGCTGGCAAAGTCTGCTGATCTGGAAAGCCTCCGTCGAACATTTTCATTACTATTTTGATTTTGCCATCGTAAATCAGCAATGCTACAAAGGTAGTGATGAGCAAAGATAGAACTCGAGGAAAGATTATCCGTCCCATGCGATCCCGTTGTACATAATGACCAGACCAATCAGTTGGACTGTGCCTCGTACCGTCGAGGAATATACCCTTTATTTATTATATTTAGATTAAAGCCTCTCACTATCACTTGTGCGAACACGCCGTGTTGCAGCCATAGAGCATGGTCGCTCTTACCGTGGAATTTCAGACTCGGTCCTTTAGAATTAGACTTAAATCGTCTCGATCAGTGATGGTGGAGATGAGCAAAAGCAACCCGAGTCTTAGAGAGGCGCAAGGAGTCCTCATTTGTTAAACCGTTGGCGCTGAGGCAGCTTCCCAGATAAACGAACTTGTCTACCACTCCCAACAAATGATCTGAAAGGGTAAGGATAGGAGCAGTGTCTAGTCAGTCCAGCAGGAAGACCTGGCACTTCGATGGTGCAAACGTCAATCCAAACTAGGAGACAGACACTTCCAACCTATAGAGGACATTTTGGGCGGCCTGTGAAGAATCGCAAATTATGGCGTACTCCAGAACACGAAGTCGGTCCACCGGAAGCAGCTCAACACAGCTGGGATCGCAGTTCGCCAGAGCACTCTCCGGGGTTTCGTCCATAATGAAAGTGAGCAAGACAACGCTGGGCAACGCTGTCTCATGCCACCGCTGATACTAGAGGTGGGGCGAATGTTAGCCGTATACCCGCACTCAGCCCGAAGTTTGAGAGTAGATGGCTTGAAGAATAGTGACGTATTTCTGGGGCACTCCCCGTCTCAGTAAATAACTCCAGAGAGTAGCTCAGTCAACAGAGTCGAACGCAACTCGTAAGCCTAAGGCAACAATCGTTGGATAGCCAAATGTTTGACGACGATCGAATAGTTGGCGGAGTGTAAAGAAGTGATTGATGCAACTCCAACATGAGTGGACCCCGGATTGCTTTTCATATATGCTCGGTTTGCGTATCAGACTAAGCCGTCTTAAAAGCAGGGCGGCGAGCACATTGTAAGCAACAATGATGACGCTAATCCCTGTGTGGCACACTTTTCGGAAATGGCTACGAGATCCGCTAGGCTTCAATCAGATGGGAGAATCTCAGTGGCCCAAATCTCATGGAGGATAGAAGCAAACTCCCGAACAACCGATGGGCTAGCAACTTTGAAAAGAGCCGGAGAGAGTTCATCTGGGTCAAGGGCTTTGTAGCGCTTTAAGAGGCGAAATTCATAGACAACCTCAGCCTAAGATAGTGGTGCAACGTCTACATACCAGGGAGTACGCTAGATTCCAGAATGAGAACGCATCGGTGCTGCAGTCCAATTAAACTGTTACTCAAGACGCTCGGTTCAACGCTCAAGTTGGCGCTTTGGGCAGTGGATTGGCTCGCCATTGGTTTCACATAACACTTCGCTTACAGTTGGATTTCCGCCGCCAGTGGATCGGGTCAGAATGAAATACCTACGGGAATTCCCCGAGGTGGCTATTTGCTTTAGATCAATCATTCGCTGCGTCCACTATGACTTGCGATCTTCCCGGAGAAGCTGTTTGGGCTCAGCGTTGATAGCTCTGCGCAGTGAATGGAGTTTAGCGCCAGCCAGAACTGATCGACGAGCTTCGAGAAGTTGGAGATATCCCACAGAGAACCAGTGATTGACAAAACTACCGGTGAAGCCAAAGATCACGGTTGCAGAGTTGTACATGGCTCCGCGGATGTGTCCAGTGTGCATCAATGTCTGTGCATGAGACAGTCTTCAGGCTTGAGGCCAAATGTCATAATCTTCTCATTAGACGCAATTCCAAAAATAACAATTTACTGCTCAACAAAACTTCTAGTCCAACCGAAGGAAAAAGCAGAACGCCAATGACGTTGACAAAGTAACGTATTAGGCGCCGCCAACAAACACTATACAACAATTGTAGACCTTCGACTTCTACAATTGGAACGTCGGCCACCAAGGTTAGTGGTTCCCCCTATCTTTTGCCGAGGTGCCAGGTGGTTTGTAGTCACGTGCAGGAGCTAGAACATTCCGGAACGTTCAAAATCAATGCGATAATCGTTAATAATCAATTATTCACTAAAATAGTGGATTTTCTAGGCCATCCTTACTTTCTCCCGGACACCTCCCCTCCTGAGTTATCGTGCGAGGTATACGACGAAAGCCTAGGATTAACTTGCAGTCTTCGGGACGGTGTTTTCTGCCTGCCGGTCCATCTCCTTGGCAGAAGTGCCTGAGAACTTTGTTCTGATGTCCGTGTTCTGGATTCTTTGCTCGACTGTGTGAAGTCGTCCACTGCTATCTTCGGCAAGTTGAAGCTTTCCACCAGTAAATCGAACGGGAGGTCAGTAGACCTTGCTTGTTCTGGTTGGCACAATGTGGGCCGTAACTGGTATGCATGCCGAGCCCAGATCTGTGCGCCCACCATCATGTCATACATGACGTTTCCGCGCTTGCTTTTGACCGTCCCTGGCGTCCATTTCGTATAGCCTTCCCGATAGTCACGTATTAGCACCTTCTGTCCAAACGTAAAAGATCGCTTGTTTGCTCCATGCCGCCGGTTAAAATCCTGTTCCATTCTGCGGTTTCTTTCACCAACAGAGAATTCCGAGCGCGGTCGGATGACGTCGAAAGGCATGCGGAGCTTCCGGTTCATCATAGCATGTGCTGGAGAAATTCCGTCTGGCGCTTGTGGATTCGGTGTTGATCGGCAGAGAAAAAGGAACCGGTCAACCACCTTGTTATGTGTTTTTGATTTTGCCGTATTCCATGCTTTGGCATATTTACCGTTCTAATACATGTTTCTGTTTTTATAGCTCAGACGTCCGAATTATTAATCGAGTAAAGCCTCCTTATCGGCTTTTGTCTTCTTCCTTCATTCCTGGAATAATCCGTGTTCATTACAATTTACTCGATTAATACAACAATCTCATGGATCGAATCTTACGCGCAGATCGCTTTGATGTGGATCCTCAATCTTCTGACGCCGGCAAACGCTGGGCCCATTGGACCTACACTTTCAGCAATTTTTTGGAATCGATCGAGTCCATGAAGCCGGACAAGCTCAAAACGTTAATGAATTATATCTCATCTGCTCTGTTCGAGGTGGTTTTTCAGTGCTCTTCTTATGAGGATGCCGTCAAAACGCTTCATAAAACCCAAAAACGAAATTTTCACGTCACATCCTAGCCACTACCAGGCAAGAGAACGGTGAATCGTTAGACCAATTCATTCAGAAGTTAAATTCCGCTGCTAGTGACTGTAATTTTCTACCAGTCACTGCCGACGAACACAGGAATCAAGCTATCAGAGGTGCTTTTATCAGCGGTCTACAATCTAACCTCATCAGGCAGAGATTATTGGAACAAAAATCACTCGATTTTCAGTCCGCTTTCGAGATGGCTAGATCGCTTGACTTGGCTCAAAAACAAGCCACTTCCTTTCAGCTGACGACTTGTAACTCCACGATGAAAACTGAAATCCCATCTGAGCCGCAGCTATCTTCTCAAGAAGAACCTGTCGTTGCGTCCTCCCAGTCAACGTGTTTCTTTTGCGGCTACGCCAGACATCTTAGATCAAGATGTCCCGCCAGAGATGCGACATGTAAAAAGTGTATAAAGAAAGGCCATTTCCAGAGCGTTTGCAAATCCAGGCCAAGTACAAATCACGGTTCGAACGTTTCTATGTCGATTTTATCTTCTGTGACGTCTGCTGCAGCGCCCGGCAGCCTTTGCAATGCCGTTACTAACATATATGTGAATGACATACCGCTGCAAGCCCTTGTCGATACTGGGAGCTCTGAAAGCTACATTTCCGATTCAGTTGTGAAAATTAACAAATTTCATATCAAAACATCTCGGGAGCACATCGTTATGGCCTCCACTACTCATTCTAGTTTCATGAAAGGACATATTATTTGCTCCATTCGACACAAAGACATCTGTTATTCCAATGCGAAACTATCCATTTTATCTAACCTTTGCTCTGACGTATTACTTGGTCACAACTTCCTCAAATATCATCGTAAAATTGAGATATCGTTTCATGGATCCAGACCTCCTTTTACTATTTGTGGCCTAATGGCGGCCCGTGTGGAACCGTTCCCCCTGTTTGAGCACCTTGCTCCAAATTGCCAGCCGATTGTTACAAAATCTAGACGCCATAGCGAATCCGACGAAACTTTCATTCAATCTGAAATCAAAAGACTTCTGGCAGATGGCATTATCCAGCCTTCGAGATCGCCGTGGCGAGCGCAAGTGTTAGTAACTACGAGCGGACATAAGAAGCGTATGGTTGTGGATTATAGCCAAACTATCAATCGATTTACCTATCTTGATGCCTACCCGCTTTCAAGGATCGATGACCTCATCCATAAAATCGCTCGGTTCGATGTGTATAGTACTCTAGATTTGGAGAGTGCTTACCATAAAATACCAATCAACGAGGGAGAACGTAAATACACTGCCTTTGAAGCTGATGGAAAACTTTACGAGTTTTGCCGTATTCCCTTCGGTGTTACCAACGACGTCGTCTGCTTTCAACGAGCCATCGACAGTTTTCTGATACGGGAAGGAGTTGCAGATACCTTTGCATATGTTGACAACGTTACGGT